GTTATAAAAATCATTATGCTATATTTTTCATGAGTACAAGACAGAGCACAAAAAAGCTAAACACTGACGTATGTAGCAATGGAGACTTATTTGACACATTAGATCATATGAAATCATGTGACAGCTAGGAAATGACCAATTACAATTAGAAAATTTCAGAACTTTGTTCAAATTTGTTTTATCAGCTTATATCTGAAGACCGTCTTATATGGTCTCACTTTTGTAAAAAGACAAGAATACATGTACCCACAGAAAGCAACATTCTTTGTTGGTTACCAGGGAACAGAGGGGCAAGGAGGGGGAGGAGGAATCATTTTCTAGATAGTAGACCCTTGTTATTTTTGGCGATGGGACAGGAAATACCCAACATAGGTGACGTCTGCACATCCTGACCAAGGTAAATGAAGACACTAAGAAGTACACAAGAAAAGGGAACAATTTAGGTAAATGTTATAACATATACGATTTTGCAACAACAGTAATAACAACCAAAAAATATGTGTGTAGTTACATAGGTAGATATATATGCATATATGTGTATAGGAAGGCATATGTGAGTGCATGCACATGCAGGTATAGGTACATCTGTAGGCATATGTATACACGTTTCTGTGTGTTGCATATATATCCACATAAGCACATAGGAGGCACAGTTACGGAGACTTACTAGACACATCCAAACACCTTGTGGGAGTGGTTTACTGGGTTAAAAGGCTTAGGACTACAGTCTCATGAGACATCCCGGTCAACTGGCATAACGTAGATTATAAAAATATTCTACATACTATTTTGGTGAGTAGCATCTGGGGTCTTAAAAGCTTATGAGCGGCCACCTAAGATACAACTATCAGTAGTTACTTGTCTGAAGCAAAAGAGAATGAAAGAAATCAAGGACTCAAAGAAGAAACTAGTCCACAGGACTAATAGCCCACACAAACCATGTCCTCATCTAGCCTGAGACCAGAAGAACTAGATGGTGCCCAGCTATCAGTACTGACCATTCTGACCAGGGACACAATAGAAGGTCCCAGATAGAATGGGAGAAAAATGTAGACCAAAACTCAAGTTCTTCAAAAAGGCCAAACTTACTGGACTGATAGATACCAGAGGACCCCCTGAGACTATTGCCCTAAGATACCCCTTAAACTTGGAACTGAAGCCACTCCTGGAATTCACCTTTCAGGCAAATAATAGATTGGCTTATAAAATCTTATAAAATAAACAATATCTCCCATGAGTACTGTGCTCCTTTAATAATCAACTATATGAGACTAAACAGTCAACATTCACCCGAAAGGAATGATGAAGAGGTAAGGAGGGGCAGGGAAACAGAACAGATAGTATGGAAACAATGAGAAGGTTGACACATTGGGAAAATGTAACCAATGTCATGGAACAATTTGTATAAAAATTGTTAAATGGGAACCTAATGTGCTATGTAAACTTTCATCTAAAATACAATAAAATATGATTTAAAAAATACATATGTACAAGCACTCATATTATGAACTCAGAAATATGTTTACCTTTGTAAGGTTCTCTAACATTAACTGTTTAAGTCATTAGAAACCTGTAAGTCATAAGAAAGTTATTTAGAAAATTTCTGAATTTAGACATAGAAACATAGAAGTATGTGAAGAATGCAGTAAACAACTTTTAAGTTAAGTTGGCTTTGACCTGATATGTTGTGTTAAAAGAAGACATAACATAATTAATCTCTGTATACTAGTCTTGAAAAAAAGACACAACACTCAGCTACTCTCTAACCCTGGAGAAAAGACATAACATGCTATATTTGACCTCATACTGGCTCTTGTCGTGTGGAGTCAAAGAGACAAATTCACACACGAACCCTAAACTTCTGCTCACTCATTGAGAGAAGGCAGAGGCAAACACTGAGGGTCTGATGAGCCTCTGTGCACTGCCACTGACCTTGGACCTTACCTATGAGGGACCTCTGCTGAGTCTGAGCTATGGTTAAGCCTTCCTCCCGAGACCTCCTGTTAAAGGTAAAAACTTGAAGTTTAAAGATATGGATTCTAATCAGTGAACTAAAATTGTAACTGTTAATTTTGATTCTCTGGTTCAAAATGAATGGTGTGAAGTCTTGTGTGCCTTGCCATGACTGCCTCACAATAAACTAAATGAGTTTATGCATGACACACAAAAAAAGACCACCTTATATATAAGATTTCATAATCTTGTAGCCCTTCAATAACCCCAAGTCACATAGAGGTGGTATGATAAACCTAACTAACATTAAATTTTATCATACTAGACAAAGTTACAGTGAGATTTTCTCAATTTTAAAAAAATCACCTCCCAACCCAATGATTTATTTAACTGATAAAGGACTTCTCTCTCATTTACTGTCTGCAGAAAATAACCAAGTACAGAATATTCACTGACAAGCTACACTGCTCAAATTCCAAAAAGTGAAAATTACCTAGCACTGTAGTACCAAGTCATCTGTTCCATAGTATACATAGTATACATTGATGACATTATTTTCAGGGGAATTCATTTACTTTGTTTACTTCAGGGCCCAGATATTGACATCCTATCTACATTAAGGGCAGAATCAGAAAGAATAACATCTGACCACTAAAATTACAGGAAGTTCCATATAACTTGCGACAAGAAATATACTGTGTTATCCCATAGCACTTAATAATTGAAGCTTCCTTTTATTTGTAATTTAAGTCATATGTCAGCTAATTATTATATCCTACATACCTCAAAAACTCCACTGCAGCCCTCTACCTGATACCCCTTCACTCACAGGAAGTGACCTTGCCTCCTACCTCACCAAGAACACTGAGACCATAATGTGTGAGCCACCTCAGCTTTATTTCTGTCATAACACAAACTTATCTTCATTTGCATTCTTTCCTTCTTCCCTTCATTCTCTGAATTTCTAGAGAAAAATTTTTAAGGTCAAAGATGTTTGTAAGTGCCTGTCATGATAGCAAGTGTATTTCTAGTATCAATAAATGAAGAAAACACATAACACGTATGTAACCATAGATTTACAGTCAACCTCCATTTGCCATAGGCTGGGAACATTCAGAACTCAATCCTTTTTCACGTAATGGCTAAATTAAGAATTTTTTTTTTTTTTTCTTCCTGAAGTTCTGACTTTGACGTACTCTACTGTCTAGATTAGGACACTAGAGATACACTCTGTTATCACTTGAGTACTTACGAATAGAAAAATGTGATATAAGGGCTAGTACTCATTTGTCTTTGTTGAAATAAAAATATGTGATAAGAAAGAGCCATATGACAAATTACTGAGTTTGCAAAGCTAATAAGGACATCCTCGCTCCTTTCCGAATGGGAGAAATACATAAATGCTTATACTCAGCACTTTTTCCTTTCTGTTGCCAGAAAGTTCCATCAATTTTGAAATTCACTATAGTCACCATGTTGGATTTTATGATTTGCATGTATGTGTTTTCTTGATTTTCTACCTTTATTTATACAGTTCACTGGTATGATTCTCAGTCTATTTACTATCGTTTTATTAGTGCTTGAAGAAAGCCACATCAAATATATGGAACAAGGCAAAGGAGGAGAAAAGGGAAGGCTGAACATTAATCCAAAAATCTGAATTATGGAAACATTCTCACGCAAAGCCAACACAAGGCAGAACCAAGACTGAAACCAACAAAAAGATCAATAAAGAAAAGTGACTCTGGAAACACAAGTCATTTCTAGAGCTCGTAAAACAAATAAAATGTTATGGACAAAAGATGGTAGCACGTGTTGCCACCTTGACATAACAATGCAAGCACTATCTGTCAATCAATATTATGATGGTGATTAAAATTACTGAGACAAGAAAGATATCTTACTGACAGTAAATTCAGACTGTCTCCTACATGTCCAATATAGAACATAAAAATAAAAACAGAAATATTAATGCAAAAACACAAAGGCAAAAGAAGGAATATTTTTAATATCTATTAATCCTTTTCCATAAGTCAATTTTCCTATTGACTCTTTAAACACTAAGTTTAAAAAAATAACAGCATTCAATGGAAGACAGGTATTCCTTCAGAACTATAAATATTTTGATTTACAATTTACAGTGTATACTGCTATTGTGGGCCCAAATAGTTTGATGTCACAATTCCCAACATAATTTAAATGACACTCTTATATATGACAGAGCACTTGTCATAGCTCTGTTCATAAAAAGTCATAAAAAAAAGCAAATATATTCAAGTGTACTACACATTAGAAACTACTTCACATGTATGAAAGCTATATCCTGCCTAAATATGACACTTTTAAAAGCAAAATACAGTCAAGTCTTCATTTTGAAAGCTGAAAAAAGAGAAGAATAATTAAATAATTGGTTTTGCAAAATTAAGATGCTCATTACTGCAGCCACTTGTCCTATTCCAAAGGACAAAGATAGAATCTAAAGTTGAATAGTTTCAGCCACACATAAATATTTCATGCTATTTTCCTTCTAAATCTTTAACTATTCTTTCCAAGTGACCTCTAATTTGAGCAATAACAAGTCATTTCATATGTTTACTAGATAATGCATATACTTTAAAATTTGAGATTTCAAAAACCACATTAAGCAATGTAGTTTTATAAGATTTACTATTTCAGAGGTGCCCTGGTGGTGCAGTGGTTAACAGCTTGGCTGTGAATCAAAAGGTCGGCACTTTGAATCCACCAGCCGCTTCTTGGAAACCCTATGGGGCAGTTCTACTCTGCCCTATAGTTAAAATGCATACCCTCCAACATCAGAAAATATTTGGAAGAAGAAAAATTAAAATTTCATGAAGGAAAAACAATTAAAAAGAGAAAAAGCACCTTTGAAACAAAACCAAACATATAGTAAAAAACTTAACTGAGCTCCAAGAAACAGAAATGCATTCTAAACCACATTGATGGAAGACTTTTACTAAATATTATATTGCATCACATTTCACTTCTAAAGCTTTCTATAGAATTTATAATGAGACAGTTGTTTCTACCTTATATCCAGGTCCTAACTGATGAACGGCAAATATCTGTGCTGGGTTGAGTGCTTCACTGAACACATACACGGCACCAAGCTGACCACAGAACACCCTGTTGGCATCAGCAGTCTCTGAAGATCCCAGAAAGCACTTGTCATAGCTCTGTTTGTAAAAAGTCATAAAAAAAAGCAGATATATTATTTTGTAATGACAAAATTTTTAAGGATACATGGCTTCATTGTCATGGTACATCAAAATTAAGGAATGACTTATTCCAAAATTTAACCATAAACACATAGGGCCTAATTTTTTAAAACTATATCTTATTTCTCCATTATGGATATATTCCTCTATTTCTCCACACTAAGTCAAGGACACAAAGGAATTAAGTTCCTTCTGTTGTATAAGTGAGCATTTATGTGGAACCAAATAAACAACCACCGCCATAGTCGGCTGCCTAAACCAGAAGGCACGGTGCTGCCTCCGCTTTCTCCATCCCACTCAGACCAGGGGAAGCAGTCACTGCCCAGTTTCCTTCCCCTTCCGCACAGGCTAGTCCATGCCATACTACTAATAAGGAAGACATTATACATGTGTAGAGTCCCTCTGATGCCTCAATAAAGTAACAAAAAATTTGTGAATGAGTACAATGACAGAAACTCCTCATTAAATACCCAGGCTTTAATTGAAAGTACAGTAACTCAAGATCTGACTGTATAAAGCATGTGTATATATGTGTTATTGTCCAAGCCTGTCCATTTCTTGGAAATAAGTATTTACTGCAAATAATTTAAAAATCTAAGTCCCTTTTTAAAAATTATGCTATGTATCAGCTTGTCAGTTCCAACTCATAGCGACCCCATGTGCAACAGAACGAAACACTGCCCGGTCCTGTGCCATCCTCACAATCGTTGTTATGCTTGAGTCCATTGTTACAGCCACTGTGTCAATCCATCTTGTTGAGGGTCTTCCTCTTTTTCGCTGACCCTCTACTTGACCAAGCATGATCTCCTTCTCCAGGGATTGGTCCCTCCTGACAACATGTCCAAAATACATGAGACAAAGTTTCACCATCCTCACTTCCAAGGAGCACTCTGGCTGTATTTCTTCCAAGACAGACTTGTTCGTTCTTCTGGCAGTCCGTGGTACATTTCAGTATTCTTCACCAACATCATAATTCAAAGGCATCAATTTTTCTTCGATCTTCCTTATTCACTGTCCAGCTTTCATATGCATATGAAGCGACTGAAAATATCATGGCTTGGGTTGGGGGAACCTTAGCCCTCAAAGTGTCATCTTTGCTTTTTAACAAATAGGCCAGGATAGAGACCAAGGAGTGTCCCAAGACAGGGAAACAGTAAGACCTCTTAAGGTTTTAACCCTAGGTATCTGCTCCAGCATCCAATTGGGTCACCTCCTCCACTGCTACCATACTAGTCCAATTTAACATCCTCTCTTTGTTATTAATGCAGTAGTCATTTAACTGATTTCCCTGCTTCTGCCATTGCTTCTCTTCAGAATGTTCTCTATACTGAAGACAGATAAATGTTTTTAAATTATGAACCAAGATCACCTCACTTGTCTCCTCAAAACCCTCCTGAAAAGGACCTTTATGCTGGGTAAGATGGGGAAGCCCAGCCCTTATGTTTGCATATGAGCCTCTACAAAGTTTCACCCCCTACTACCTGCATAACCTCATCTATCACCAAGATTCTGTCCCTTCCTCTCTCTCTACTCCTACAAAATGGCATACCTCGAACTTTTCAGTTCTGCCTCAAAGCCTTTGCATTCACTGTTCCCACTGAATGGGGTATTTCCCCAAATACCCTCATGTCTTTCTTCCTCAACTCTTCTCAGTAACATCATCTCTGGACAACCTAGCCTCCTTCCTTCACTACACATCACGACTACATACTACCCTCATTCATTCTGTTTAAGGTCTTCCCTACACATGCAAATAAGGAGTAAGAAACATTTTTTAATGCTAGAGATTCTGGAAAGAATAGAATGCTGACTTAATGTTTTCTGACCTAAAATACTTAATAATTTGGCTGTGTAATTCTACCGTTTTTGTATCTCTAGCCATGCACTTTAGTAATTTTACTGTACTATATTTAAGGCTTAAAAATTCACTTACTAACTCAGTAATGAAGTCACTCCTGAGGTTCAATCTTCAGCCAAAGATTATATAGGCTCATAAAACAAAATGAGACTAAAGGGGCACACCAGCCCAGGAGCAAGGACTAGAAGGTAGGAGGGGACCGGAAAGCTGGTGATAGGGAACCCAAGGTGGAGAAGGGAGAGTGTTGACATGTCGTGGGGTTGGCAACCAATGTCACAAAACAATATGTGTAACTAATTGTTTAATTAGAAGCTAGTTCGTTCTGGAAACTTTCACCTAAAGTACAATTAAAAAAATTCACTTACTAAAAGAAAACAAACTTTCAAAGTAAAACTCCTAAGTTTCTATAAAACGATTTTGTTATTTAATTCATGTAATAAGTAGTGATAGAACATTCCCTCAAATACACTAAAACACAAATTTATTTTAAAAAAAAAACAAACAACTTACATCATTTGTGTTAACATGCCACGCCATATCCCCATAGGAGACCAGCTGTCCGTTGACATAGCACCGAATCTCACTGTTCCGCCATCGATTATAAATGTGAACAATGCTGATCATGTACCACTTCAATGAGAAAATGTTAGATGAGTAGGTAATGCTTAGTTACCACTGTCTAAAACGTTTCACAGCATTCATAACACTCTATACATGATCATCTACTTTCATTTCCTAAAGTTCTTCCTCCCATTTCTCATTTTACAGATGAAAGAACCGGCAGAGAGCACCTTTGTGATGGAGACAGAGCTAGAACCCCTGACCCCTAGACTGACACTCCTTCTGCTACATCAACACTCAAAACTCTAGAAATACAATGATATTTGTGTTTATTCCTTCAATAATATTTTCATTGTCCCAGACACTGCAAATATCCAGGGATGACCAGACAGATGGATGCTCGGCTCTCCTGACAAAGATACAATTACAAACCATGATAATTAGTGTGTGAAAAAAGAAGAGTATAAACGGAGAAAGAATAACCTAGGATTCCAATTTGGACTGCGTGGTCGAGAATGAGCTCTCAACAGAATAACATTTAAGCATTTTAAATAAGGTTTAAGTGGTTTCAATCCCACATCTTAAATTTATTGAATCTAAGAATAATTATATATTTTAACTTAATAATGTGTCAATATTCATTAAGATGAATGAATTCATATTGAGTTGCTATTTTATAATTGCTATTATCAACAAGAAGTAGCGCTGGTGGCGCAGGGGTTAAAGTGCTCAGCCGCCAACCAAAAAGTCGGCGGTTCGAACTCAGCGGCCACTCTCTGGGAGAAACATGTGGCAGTCTGCTTCCATAAAGATTACAGCCTGGGACACCCTATGGGCTCTGTCCTGTAGGGTCACTATGAGTCCCAGTTGATTGGACAGCAGTAGGTCTGGTTTCGGTTACTGTCAACAACAAGCATTTCAAGTGTCTATTTTGAAATGAGATGGTTTATGTTCTGTAACAATTTATGCACCTAATCCTTAGCCTCTTTGGAGTTTTGGCCTAAACCAAAGAACACTACAACGTAGAAAAATACAAGTGATCCATCGGTATTTGAACAAGTATGCCCTCAGCCATTAAGAAAGAAAATCAAGACTAGTTCCTCCCCAAACACAAAAATATGAAATGCAAACTTTGTTCTCCAGATTACTTAAAAGCACTATTCAATCATTTCATATATATTTAGAGAAATATCGAGGTACAACAGTAACTGTGAGCCACTAAAATACTTGTTATTTTAAGGTGTCTCAAATACCTTAACCAAAATTCGATTTCATTTATTTTGATTTAAAAAATAAACTCAGTGCGCTGAGCAATTGATGGACGACCACAGTAGACAACAACAGTGTGCCTCAGTTACAAGGTCCAGGTCAGGTCCAATAAGTCAAATGCCTAAAACACATATCTCTAGTAAGTTGTTTCATTCAAGGTAATCTTTCACTGTGATTTATTATAAACTGAGTCTTTCACTTGATCAAAAAGCAACAAATGTGTTAGCCCTGACTAAGCCAGAAGAAAGAGGGAAATCTTTAAACAGACAATTAAAAGCTCATGTTTTTAAATCTACGAATTACCAAGAAGCCAGAAAAACTGAACTTCAAATAAACTTAGGAAAAATCGTAAAGAAGTTTACATGTATAAGAATTACAATTTACATATACTACCTTCACTGAGTTTGAAAATACTGAACCAGAATACATTACAGATAACATTGAATATATAATCTTCAACATTTTGGAGTAAAATTTTTAGGAACTAAATAGACAAAGACTTCCTGCCCAAAGACAGTTTTAAGGGAAGTAATATTAGATGTATGATACTTACTGACATACCTAAAATAGAAAAGCACTCACTCAACAGGTATTTACTGAGTTCTTACTACTATGTACCAGATAACTGAGGGTATTGAACAGGATGAACTTTAAATTCATACAGAGCTGAACTGGATTCCCAGTTTATGGGCTCAACGATTTTCAGCAACTCATTTAGCATCTCTGAACCTACTTCCAGCTCTAATAAGGGACAGTAATAATGTCTACTTTGTGGGACAATGGTGAATATTGGAGGTAATAGTTACATATGAAAACTACGGACAACAGTTCTTGAAACGTATTTGACATCCATAAATGAGACACCATTAACTAAATTTCTATTTTTCTGTCTAATATTTCCTCATAATGAGATTTTTCTCTGCTAAAATTAACATTATTAATTCTGCAACGTCATTCATTCATTCAAAAAACATTTACTGAAAGCCTACTTCATGCTAAATAGCTCCCATATTGTGGGCATATAAAGAAAGACAACAAAAAGAAACAAACATGTAAACAATTATAAAACAATGGAAAATATTTAAAACACAGATGATGAGAGCAGAAAGTGGTAATGACAACCTGAGGGCCTTGGGAAAAGGAAAGGCAAATGGAGAAATAAGGCTATCAGAGAAGAAGTTACTAGAAGACTAAAATGAAACTGAAGGTTAGGCTTGGAGAATGACAGGAATTACTGAGTAAAGCGAGAGGGGAGAGAAATACTCCAACCAGAGGAATCTGAATATGCTACAAACTGATAAAGCACAAGGGCTTGACAAAACTTCTCGCAGTGTTTAGGTTTAGTGGGAGAAGGCAAGAGCCAGGCTGAAAAGACACCTGTAGGACACCTTCAGGAATTTGGCCTTTATTTTTTGGATACTGTGGTATCACTCAATAATTTTGAGCAGCAAAGTGAAATGATCATCTTTATAGTTTAGAAAAATTACTGGCAGCAGTGTGGAAAAGGGTGAGAGTTAGGTAAGTCCAGATAAAGATAACCTTAACCACTGCAAAGTTTCTGGTAAGAAACGAGAAGAGCCTCAATTAAGACAGAGGCAATGGTAATTTAAATAAAGGGGTGCTGGGGGCTAATTTGAGAGGCATAATTAACACAATTGATTGAAAGTGTGGATATAGAAAAGATGGTTTCCAGTTTTTCACACCGAGGTGCAGTGGCACCATTAAATTAATAACTTAATTAACAATGCAAGAAGATGATCAAGTTTGGGGTTACAAACAAACAAAAAACAAGAGTTTGCATCTGGTCGTAACACTATCATAGGATAAAACTGAATGACTGAATAAACGAATCAGTTGATCTCAGTTAAGGTCATAGTACTTATGCACCTAAAATTACCATCTCTGTTCTCCTCCCTTGGTACTGTACGTACTCTGAGATAATGGACAACAGTGAGGTTTTCAGTATTTCAGAATAACTCAACTTTTTACCTGATATTCTTTAACTAAAGTAAATGACAGTAAATCTGGACACTATGTATCCATACAGATACCATGCATGTCAAAATCCATTTATAAAAGATGGATATCACCAGGAACAAGAGAAAAGATCCATATTAAGAATTCGCAAGGTAAATATTACACCATGAGGATAAGGAAAGAAATTAAAGGTAAGAAAATATAACATGGTATTTATACAAATATCAATAGGAGCTAACATGTATTGAGCACTTACTAAGTTAGGTAATATGCTAATGGTTACATCCACTTGCACATCAAACAGCCAGTAAGTGGTGCAGAGGGGAAAGCAAAGTTTTAACATGAAGATTTCTATTACAAAGGCAGTGGAGCTCTTATTAGCAAAGTCAATACAACTCAGGGCACTTCCTGGACATTTTATTAAAAAAAAAAAAAAAAAAACCCAAGAGAATGAATTTACCTTGAATAACAAAAAAGTAAAATCAAATAGTTAGAATTTTCAAGGCTTATTAAAATCTTTAGGGGAGGTTTTCTAAAATCCACCTCATTCCCTGACCATGCTCGTACCAGTTCCCCTTAGAATCACTGTACGTAAGGAGAGCTGGTACAAATGGAAATGTGTTTTTCAAAAGCAAATAGTGCAAAAATAGAAAAAAATGAGAGTATATGTGTTAAATTGCTTCTTCTTGGTTAATGATAACTTCATTTTGTGTTCAACTTCTGATTTTTTTCTTATTCGTACTCTTTAAGTCTGTTTGCTAAACTTGGTCATAAGAAGAATCACCTACATCATTTGTTAAAAACACGTATTTCTAGCAGGAAAATTATAATTCCAAGAATTTGTACTTGTAACCTGTTCCCATTAAGATTAACAATAATTTGACACATTTGGCAAGCTCTGTGAGGGTTCCATCTTAAACCTAATGAATCAGAATTTTTAAAGGAGAGGCAATGGAATTTATATAAAAATAATTAAGATTTGTAGCAAAAGTAAGGACCCCTATTCTAATGCACAAATTTACTTAAAATCATTCCTTTTTAAATTATTTTCCAAGAATGTATTAATAAATGATTGTTACAGTGATATCCTTTAATAGGAATAACTACTACTACTCCTTACACAGAAAGCAAAGATTTTTATTAGAATCATATAAAATACAAAAATATCTTTGAAAATATCACCCAAACTAATATTTTCTTCAGTATCTGGGAAAACACACATGGGATGATCATAAGAAAACAAGCAACAAAAAAAAAAAAAAGAAAGAAACAAAGCAAAAAAATAAACTCAAACCTATCATGGATTGAATCGAATGTAAAAAAAATTACATGTTGTAAATCCTCACCCTCATAC